GTCGGAGCAGACTGTAATGCTGCGACACCTGGCTGTGATCTGTGACAATGGGCCTCCATACATAACAGGATAAAACCTGGAGAGAGAAACAAGGCCTCTGATCACTCCTTTGACCTGCACTCTAATCAAGTCATGTTGGGTAATCATACCAAGATTGACACTTAAAATGTGTGCGTCCTGCTAAGATAATGGGACCAGAGTTTGCAGACAGCCTGATGCTTAAGTGTGTTGCTGGATTTGTAGTGACTGCAAGAGTCTTGTCGTAGATCTCGGCTGTGCGGTATGACGTGGAGAGACAAAATCCTCTTATGGTTGTTACAAGCAATCTGATTTTTTGCTCTGATGTGACACAGATTTGTTTTTTTTTCAGAGCAGTGTGAACACAGAAATCCAGTTTTCTCCAATCAGATCAGGCCACTTCCATATGCTGTCCATGCGGTCATATCAGAATGCATGTGTGTTTATCTCATGCATCCATGGTTTTATCCGGCCATGCTTCACTGCACGGCTCAGATCTCTCACCATACAGTGTCCGAGCTGTCCGTTAAAACTACAGAAGGCTGCCACACCGCTGCTATGGTAGGCTGCCCCAGTTGCCAGCCCCACCTGCCAGACGCTTTCTGATGGGGACAGCTTGCCTACATGCTATGAAAGGGTTGTCCTTGCCATTCAAAGGTTTTGGAGGACCTGTTCCTCTGCGAAACCCTCCACATCGCGACCCCACTACTTCTGACTCCTCTCCCGGCTGCACCAACACCTATCTTTCCACAGAACTACCAGCAGTAGCTGCTAATAGAGCTAGTGGACCGAAAGCTCATTTGTACGACAGCCCATGATCCTAAAAACAAACAGCCAGCCCTCCAAGGGGCCATTTCTCCAAAGATATGCTACACTCTCCCAAACAGAAGCACATGGCTAATCATTAGGCAGAATGACATCATTAGACCTTCGTGCTATACAGCGATAATTTGTTATGTCATTCATTTTTACACCAAATTTTTGTTTCTCAAAAGTGACATTTTTCATTGTTGTTCAAAAGCACACATGTGTGAAGTTACTGGTTGCATGTGAGGTGTTTCAGGGCAGAGATCTGTTCACACTGATGTCAGACATGAGTCACCTTAAAGAAACTACAAAATGAACCAACAACTATTAAAAGAATCAAAGTTTTTTACAATATATGATACTGCTTTAACTCCCGATCATTTCAGAGTATTGATGGTTTGAAATAAAGTACAGAAGGTGCCACATTCCTGCTGCCACTGAGGCTACGTTCACATTACATGGCTTAATGCCCAATTCTGAATCTGATTATTTACCCAGATCCTGGACTGTTCACATTCAAGTTTGAAGTGACCCATAACTTTTTTCCCATCAATATCTTCATTGAGTTTTCCATTTATTTTTCCCCCATAAACAAGACGACAGAAGCCAGAGGTCTGCAATGCAGCCCTAAGTTTGATCATGTACATCAGAATCATGAGAAATTCTGTTTTGTAAAAAGGTCACAAAGGTTCCCCAGCATTTCTCAAAAATGATACGTAATCTTCTCTGAGGGTAGGTATGATGAGAACTCTTTAAGCCACAGAGACACACTAGGGGGCTCCAAACTTTTCCAGCGCATGGCAACACATTTGTTAGATGCAATTAGGGCTAGTCTGACACAACGAATATTGCCTCTCATATTGAGTGGTAGAGCTGATATGTCCCCCAGTAATGTCAGTCTTGGGTTGGTTGGGATCTTCACCCCCACAATTCTTTTTATTATATCTAAAATAGATCTCCAGTGCTGATCCAAACATCTACATGTCCAGAACATGTGTAGAAGAGTCCCTGCTTCAGTCTTAATAATAATAATAATAATAATAATAATAATAACTTTATTTGTATAGCACCTTTCAAAACCAAAGTTACAAAGTGCTTTACAATTAAAACAAAAACAATAAAAACAATTAATGGTTCATTTTGCTGTCTTCCATTCTTCCCACTTTGTTTTCGTCTTTCCTGTAAAGCAGCTCATTGATGTAATGTAATGCACAACATGGAGGCTTATCCTGACCTCTGGTGCATCTGTAGCCCCACCTAACAGTGATGTCACAGTGTACAGAGACACCCTGGAGTGCACTTTGACAACACCATTCCCAGAAAAACATAATCACATTTCCAATATAAGTCCAATTTTAGTTTCAATGTCACTCCAAAATTAAACTTTATCGAGACCACTGATGTCTTCAACGTCCTTGCAGAAAAAAACACTGGGGCATTTCTCGATGTTTCTAACAGCTAAAATAAAACTGGTAACAGAGGACATACTGAGGACACACCGTTAGCACCTCACGGGTGGAGCAGGACAGGAGAGCTCTTCAGAGGCCCTGAGTGTCACTGAGGGATACAGACACTCTACTTTAAAACCTGTCAATTACTCTTTTCATGTCAACACAGCCTATTTTCTGATGAATGAGTACAGCAGGAAGGAGAACTTCACCTTCACCCATTCCATCTGGAATGAGAAGGTGCTTTTCATCCAGGAAATAGTCGGAGAACAAAAGAACTGAGCCGCTGCAGCCTACAGCTGTTAAACCACCGTGGAGGAGGTCACATTGTGGGAAATGTGCTAGATGTTTAATTTGAGTTGCCTAAGGAAACAGAAGTGCGTGCTGCGAGAGGTGAGCACGTTCACGTCCTGAAAGAGGATAGAAGCACTGCCCCTCACATTATAAACAATACAATAACAACATGAGTGCAGGAGAAAGGGATTCAAAGGGAATAACATGCTCTCACTATTCTATGTTTGAACTGCATGGATACTGACTGAATAGATTCAGTCTTGCTTAGTATCAGTAGGTGAGTGTTTTATCTGGCATGTTTTGAGCCCTTTACCTGCATGTTTTTTTTCTGCTACAGCATCCATGTCTGCTCTGAGATTCACATGAACGCCCTTGAGACAAAAGCATAACATAAAAGGTAAAAAATGTGTTTGGTTTTTTAATGATATTGCCCCAGCGCATCATTTGACAATACAAAGGCCTCCTGATGATCTTCAAAGGCTCAAAGAATATTTTATTCATCCATCCACCCATCCATCCATTTTCGTAACCGCTTATCCTCTTGAGGATCGCAGGAGGGCTGGAGCCTACCCCAGCTGACATTGGGTGAGAGGCAGGGTACACCCTGGACAGGTCACCAGACTATCACAGGGCTGACACATAGAGACAGACAACCATTCACACTCACATTCACACCTACAGACTATTTAGAGTCACCAATTAACCTGCATGTCTTTGGACTGTGGGAGGAAGCCAGAGTACCTGGAGAAAACCCACGTTGACACGGGGAGAACATGCAAACTCCGCACAGAAGGGCTCCCCCACCCTGGGGTTTGAACTAGGAACCCTCTTGCTGTGAGGAAACAGTGCTAACCACTGCACCAGCACCACCCTAATAATAATATAGTCAGCTGAGGTAATTTAAGCAACTTAAAAACTTACCTGCTAATTTCATTTTGCTCAGTTTCGATGCTAGTGTGGTTTTCACTCTTCAGTGCTATGGGTAACTCAACTCCTAACAGTGCTTTAGTTTTAATTGTTCTGCAGTAGCTTGTGGTGGCTAGCATTAGCATTAGTGTTTGACTTTATAACTTCTCTCTATTTGTGTTACTATTTGAATGTGTTATAGCATTTAACATTGTCTGGCTAATGTCTTGTATGCTGTCTAGTGACTGTTATGTAATCTTGCTTTCAACAGACATGGCTAGTGACGTCGAGTAGTGTCTCTCTAAGGGCTCATGTGTCCTTAACATTAGATATGGAGACGGAGATGGAGATGGACGGATCCTGCTGTCAGTACTCTGCGTTCATTTCATCCTATTCGTGCAAGTTTTCTAAAAGTTTATGGATAGGATAGGGATGAAACGGAGCAGTACCACTGGAGACTGTAGAGGAAATGTAGTGTAGTTCAAGTGAGATACGACCATAGGAGACAAAGAAGAAATTCAAATAATGATGGAACCAGGTGAATTGGTAAAATAGTGAAAAGCATTCTGGGATGTATAATAATGGCCTCACAGACCACTGCTGTCTATAGTGCTGCCTTTCTTAAAAGCTACATCAAGCTCCTCAAATGTCATCTTTGTTGTTGTGTGAAAGTTTTGACTCTGCCCTCTAGTGCCATTTACATTTACAGAATACACAAGTGGCCTTATCTAGAGCCGGTGTTTGATTTGTCTGTTCAGGGCTACTGTAAAACAAAATGGCAGCCTTTGTGGAAGAGGACCCGCCCTGTGTGAAGGTAAAAACGTCTCATTCTAAGGTAAAGAAAGCACATTCTGATTGTCAGGTGATTCAAAACTGGTGGGGAGTCATTGATTCTGGGGAAAGATTGTTAATACATGAACTCATTACCAAAACAAAAACACCTCACCTGTCAGTACTCCTTCGAAAGCCCCCTGTCCTGCATGAGCACGAATGCCACCTGTTGCTGAATGGATGCAAAAGCATTGTTTGGCTCATCCAAGCTACTTTGTTTGTTTCTCATATACAGAGCCAAGTCTGTGGAGGTATGTGTTGGGTTTGACAAAAAGTGTCTTGAATTAGAAGCCCTGAGTGCACCTTTAAATGTGAGTCTTATGCACAGACACACGCACAGAATTGACACTCTGTATTTCACACTGTAGACAGACCAAAACAGACCATTAGGAGAGGTCACAGAATTAGCGAGGGGGCTAAAATGTGATTTTACCCTTGTTATTTACTGCTTTTATTGATAATTTCACAGATTAATGTTCCTGGAGCGCTGGTGTCTGTTGTGTACACAAGGGGGCAGCAGAGTCCCTCTTTTTTTATTCTTTTTTTTTTTAAACTTGTAGCTTGGCAACACTAAAGGAAAATCCTCTGTCTCTTCTCTGAGCCTTGCTGTTTCCTCTCCTTTTTTGTGTGCTCTGTTCCTCATAGCTCTGTCCATCTTTAGAACACAATACTACACGCTTTGTTGTATCGTCTATTTATTGAGGATTAGAAACATGAAAAACATACCAAAAAGCCTGTGAAAACATGAAATAATCGTACACACCAAATAGCAAAAGATTTATATAAACACTTGATAACACGAAGGCTAATGTAGTAAACCTCTATGACACCTTAATGAACAATATCCTCAGCTGTCGCTGATGTTGGCACCATGCTAAAAGAGCATATTCACATGTAGTGGTTCATTTTGTGCTTGTGTGAGCAGTAACCTGAGCTTTGAGAGGTTGTTATTTACATAAAGGTGTGAAAGTTTGGCTGCAGCATAACTATGCAGTGTTGTTTGTGTGGTGCATCCACATCTGAGTTTGAGAGAGTGTGCAGAGTTGTCCCAGTTCTAGTTTTCTGGCTCCGTGGACCATGACCAGGTGATGTGCTCCTCCTCTGGGTATAAATGTGGAGGCAGGGTGCAAAGACAGATGATAATCTATGAGTCACTAATAAAAAAAGTTAGAGCCATGATGGACATATCGCTGGAGAGATTAGATTATGACAGATGTTTGTGCGTGTGAATGTTTGGATGTCAGGTTGGGCGGAGGCCAGGTCATGAGAGTGGTGGCAGGGATCGGGTGCTGACCGGGCTGTACTTCGCCTTGGATGGTGATGGAGGAGGCTGGGTGAGGTGAGGGGAGGAGGGGGATGGACGCATGTGTCCACTGTGGTACTCTCTCCCACTCCCTGAGTGCTCTGAGCCAGGAGCTTGTGACCGACCTCTGGGCCTGCGTAATTGAGGCGGGGTGGTGGAGGAGGTGGGCATGCATTTGTACCGGGAGGGAGAGTGATGAGATGACGGATGGCAGGTGGGGGAAGAATAGCAACCAGGTGCAGAGTGACGACTGGGTGATGGGTGGCGACTGGGTGAGGGGTGACGACCGGGTGAAGGGTGACGGCCAGGTGAGGAGTGTCTCACAGACAAGGGTTCACGGTTACTGGGTGGGTGTTCCTTTGTGTGTCTGGGTGATTTGGGTGACTTAGGCACCTTAGGTGACTTGGGTGTCTTGGGCGTCCTGGGTGTCTTGGGTGATTTAGGCAAGGGGTGAGAGGAGGTGTAAGAGTTGGCGCTGTGAGTGGGAGGGGCTTGGCTGGGAGAGGCGGAGTCTCCATTGTTGGCAACCTTGTAGAGGAAGACGTCATACTGAAGGGGCGAGCTGGTCTCTGGGTGGCGCTTGGCTTCTTTGGGGAGGAGCACCTCCAGGCCAATAGTGACTCCATCCTGATGTGGGAATATTGTGAGTGGAGAGGGATGCAACAATGTAGGAAAAGTCACAGAGGCAAAAATAAGGACAGATATGGATGAATTATGAGACAAAAACTCCCCGGGCACAGACACATCATCTTAAATCTGCAACAACTGATTTGTCAGCCACTTGGGGGCAGTGGAAACAAGCTGTGAACACAACACTGACATGTTATCACCTTTAACGTAATACAAAAGCAGGCGCCCATTTACACATCCAGCAGATATGGAGCAACATTAGCATTTATTCAGAGTTGTGTTTGTGGCCATTTGATGAGTGTAAGCCCAACATTCACTCTCCTGGTAGCTGTATTTATTGGTCAACACTAAATTAAAATACAGTTTTCCCTCACAGCAGCAAGACTGGGGCTTTAAAGGGACAGTTCACCCTCAAATCTAAAACGCCAATCTTTTGTCTTACTGGTAGGACTATTTAGCAATCTAGACTGTTTTGGTGTGAGTTGCAGAGTGTTGGAGATATCAACTGTAGAGATGTCTGCCTGCTCTCAAATATAATGAAACTCAATGGCACACGGCTCGACATTTGAAAAGCTTAACAGCAGCGTCTCTCTCCAGAAATCATGACCCAGTTACTCAACATAATCCACGACCTTGTTGTGAGCAGTTTCATGCAGGACGTATTTTTTTTCTACTGAACTACACCCACCAACCGTATCACCATGTAGGAGGAAGTGTGCATCTACTCATAAACAAGAGGCTTGTGCTCATGACATCACTGTGGAGTTTTTTAAATGCATTTTTTGGCGTCTGGAGCACCACAAACCGAGTGAGAAGGCAGACATCTCTACAGCTGATATCTGTAATACTTGGCACCTCACACCAAAACAATCTGGATTAGTAAATAGCACTATAGGTGAGAGGTAACACATGTATCATTGATTTGGGGGTGAACTGTCACTTTAAGTTACATACCAGCCTGTAGTTTTAATCTTCTGAGAGGGAGGAAGTTATATTTCAAGCACCTGTGGTAGCTTCCATTAACTCTGGAGAGCTGTCCTTGGTGCTGAACGGGCTCACGGCAGCCATTGTTTGTGTGGTGTAATCTGTGAGCAGCCTACTGTAGCACAAAAGCAGGGTCAGCCGTGCATTCACTCATTATTAGCAGGGGAGCGGTTGGGCAGTAGTTAGCTTCATCATGAGCAGACATGCAGAGAGAGCGAGAAAGAAGAGAGAGGGAAAGTAGAGCTAATAGCAACACACAGGGACAAGCTGGATAAAATTAAAAAGATTTATTCCAACAACTGTGAACTATAATCCTCCATGTATACCCAAAAAAGTACAAAAGAACCTCAAGTACATTAAAGTATTATAAATCACATTGAAAACCAAGACACAGCGTGTGTTATATATGTATATAGATTCAAATATCAACTCCAAGCAGTTACTTTGACCTCATGTAATCTAGACATATCCACTTATTAGCAATGTCAAACATGAATATTTCGCAAATACAGATTCACTTGATTTCCACTTACTTCTTTTGCAAATATTACGTTTTTCAGACACTTTTCTTCGATAACACCAATGCATGCGGGCAGAGAGAGACAGTAAGGCGGGGCAGGCAGAGGCGAGGGGAGGGTTTGGGGGAAACGGGAGAGGAGACAATGAGGGAGAGAGAGTTCATTGGCCGAAGACCAAGGCAGGGCATCAGTAGAGAGGAAAGTCAGTCATTAGTTGGTCCAAGCCAGTGATTTTAGTCCAGCGTAAGAGGCGATAGAGAAAAGAAAGGAGGCGCGGCACCACTATGTGATCAGCATTGGCATGGCAGCCTTGTAAACAGGACTATTGTGCTTCTCAAGTTGTATTCGTAAATTCATGTTGTGCTTACTTTTGACATTAGGCCCGATTGGACTGTTTACAATACACAGTATGTACTTTGCACCACTCTATAACAATTTACTGTAGTGTAGTGTGCGCGTTAAATATTTTGGTCTGATTCTCCAGCAGCACACTTTGACAGATGGTGATATTATACCAGGTTGTTCTGGAGCGTGTTTACCTCGGCGTTCTCCTCTGTGTTGTTAGGGGTGTGGCCCTGGTCGTGGACGACAGAGGTTGGACGGTTGTTCTCGTGTTTGGGGGAATGAGAGTTGAGGATGTTCATTGACCCCTCTTCCTTGGCTTGTGGGGACTTTGCAGGGTCCTCCTGCTTCTGGGGATCATCCTGTGGAGAGAGTTTGTTACTCTTTACACATGCCTCGCACTGATACATATAAACACACGTTTATATAGACACACAGGGGTCACAGGTAAGTCAATGTTTTGCAACCTGAGGCCCTGTCTACACATATAGATCATTTTGTAAATATATATTTTCCTGTATGTTTTGGCCTCTCATCCACACACAAACAGAGATTTAGGTCATGAAAACTGCACCAGGGGCGGGACAAACATTATTATCAAGCTGCTGTTAAGCATTTTGAAGCTGTGTCCCAGAATCAGTGAGGAGTAATAACAACAATGGCGACTGCCGTAGACAAGATAGACGCTGTTGTCTAGGCTGTTCTAAATCGGCATGTCTTCTCAATGTCGCCTGACATCGTTGTTGTTTTTACTTCGCTCTGCTCCACTCTTAAAACCCCGGCAAATCAAGTATGTTGGCATGGCTACACATCACCATAGACTTAAAATGACGTCGGATTCAGATGGATACATGCGTCTCTGGTGATTGGTCAGGGAATATTAAATCCCCCTCCCCCATGAAAATTGGTTAGAGTGCAATGTCAGACTGAAGACAGAAACACAGTGTAATTATTTGACATTACTGTCTGAATATCACCCTCACAGGTAAGCTCCTGGTTAAAAGACGAAAAGACGAAGCTTCATGGCTACCTCATGTGTATTGGAGAACACACATGGGACATTTCTCAGCACTTTTGACTGGCTAAAACTGTTTGAATTAACTAAATATCTCAATTAAAAACATACAATTCAGTAAAAAAAAAATCCCAGGGAGCACTTCCTCATGTCAGAGATGATCATTCCTGAGTTTATATAGGTCACCCTATGGACTGATACTGCACCTGCAGGCATAGACTTTTATCTAATCAACCAATCATGCCTCAGTGTTTAAAAGAGAATCCCAATCGGACCTTTGACATTTAAAAAACTGCATTGCAGACCACGTGTCTGCAGGGGCTTTTTAGCCTCTAGACCTGACATTTAGAGCATCCGGAAATCACAGATACTCATCTATAACCATCGCATAGAAATGCCAGCAGAGCTCTGAGTGTTGTGGCGAGTCACAATGTGTTCACTTCATTTAGCCCAGCCAGGTGTGGCTAATGGACTGGAAATTAATATACGATTTTGTGATCCATCAGTGTGTGCTTTTGTTTGCAGAGTGTTAAATGCAGTAAATTCATGCAATTATCAAAGGGTGTAGGTTTTGTTTCATATGAAATGGGTGGATAAGGGTCTTCTGCCAGAGAATTTTAAGCATCAAACACTTCATTTCCTGAATTCTGGTGAATTTCTATGCAACAATTTGTGACTTTCTGCATCAATTTATGGTGAAAATGTCTTAGATTTTGTTAAAATACAAGTTGTCTGCTACTTTAATGTCCCAATCTACACCTGTGAAACTATCAGTCAGAGAGCTGTGTTTGACAACAAAACTATTGTGCACGTCTCAATGTGTCAGTTTGCAAATGACCCAGCTATCGATTGATTGGCATGTCACAGACATCTGAAGGTCATACGCACAGCAGGCAGTAAGTAGGGCACCATCGATTGGTCATACTGGCTACTGCTGGACAAAACACGCTAATCACCCTTTCACACCAGGGACAACAAGCTCAAAAGCGTAAAGTCACAGAGCAAAATGTCTTTGTTCTGTTGATCTCATAGACTTGATGTGCTATTATGGTTAAGCTCTGTTTATCGACGAGATTCCTCATTGTTTATTTAGATTAAGAGTTTAACCATGCATCAGTAACCCTAGAGTATAAACTGTGTTGGCTTAGTAACCCAGTGGGCGAGTATGATTGATGAATACCTAACAGGGGCACACACACTAATCTGCCTGCAAACACAAAACCCCACAAACACACAGAAACATGGATAGAAATTAACACATCCATGCGTGCGGAGTCATTTCCACAGACACACATGCTGCTACAGAATGCAGCTCACTTCATAGCAGCACTACATGCATGACCTTTGGAAGAGGACTGGGTAGAGACGGGAAAACCTGCACAGGGACCCTAAAATGGCTGTCTGAGCTTTGTAAGCACAAGAGCAAAGCCAGCAGTTAAAACAAAATGGAGGCTCAGCTTCCTCACAGAACTTCTCCGGAAGCTGCGTAGGCAAGAAAGGCAGCAAATGAGGGAACTTGCTATTTAATCACACAGCTGTCAATACATAACACCTCTGAACAACTAGTTGTAGGAATCCTTGCAGGGAGGTGATTAATTATTTCAGCCTACAGTGTACGTGGAATGCAGCTGATAACAAGAGTTTGTGAGGTTTGCGTTGAAGAGAGAGGCGAACTCTGGCGTCTAGCGGTTGCACAGTGGGTAGGTTTCAAAGCAAAGCCAGGGAGGGAAATTGCTGTAGGACAATGTGGACGTTTCCGCTCTGCTTACCTGGAAGTGATTATAAGGGTTTCTGGGTTTATATTCCCAGGTATAGCTGCTTGTTGATTGCCTCTGAGGGGATTGGTGAGTGTAAAAAGCATTAAACACACACATACTGTACATTTCAAATTGTAGCCCAGTGAGAGGTTACTTGCTTTAACAGGGCACTAAGGTGAGTTAGATGTGTGCATAACTCTACGAGCTCAAAGGGGACCTATTATGCCTGTCCTTGTTCTCTGTCATATATTATGTTACAGTGTTGGATGATAATATTAAACATGGCCAAAGTTTCCAATAATGAGCATATGTAAAAGTAATCTCTGTGCCTCAGGTGTCAGGCTGCTCTGAATACTCTTTACTCTCTACTTTCGAGACAAGCTGACGTAAGCTCCATAGAATGGAAAAATAATGGCTGTAGCTATGGTGACATCACCCATTTGTTTGCGGACTCCCGTTCTGAAGTCTTGAGTTGTTTTTATAGAGCCAGAAGTGAACATATTTAGACGAGAGGGTGGATCTGACTGACAGCCCAAGGGCACTATCAAAGGAGAGCCTGTCTAAGCAACATCGCCCTTAATTTTGTGTAACTTTAAGCCCTAATAACATTTAAATTATAGATTAATTCAGCTTCCCATAGAGTTGTCATTAACAGGGAAAGTAGCTAGAGGGACTAAGGCCCTGATCACACAGAAAGCATTTTAGCAGCTGGAGGTGCCTTTTGTATAATGAGAATTAAGCTTTTTGCTCGTAGTTTTTGCGTTGCGGTGCACCTTGTGTTTCTGCGCTCTAAGTGCCTGGTGTTTTTGCCAGAGCGCTCTGAACTCCTCAAGCTGAAAAAACTTCAACTCAGAGCATAAATGCACTAGCCTGGTTCCAGACCATAGACCCTGCCCACTCAACTGAGTAGGCTTGCATCTCTGGTCTGGCATACTGCAATGAATTTGCGATTTATCTCGTCCAAACGATGGATGGACCAATGAACGCCGGGGGTGGGGGCGGGTCTAGCGATTAGCCAATCAGTGCCAGTTACGCCGGTGGGTAACTGGTGAGGATAGCAACAATGGCGACTGCTACAGATCCTACAGACCACATTAACGATGCTATCGAGGTATTTCGCCACTACTCGCGTTAATGGAGGACCAAATTAAAGAAGCTGCTAAACTGGATTTAACGACAGCTGGGCGTGCACGACGATGGAGACATTTTAAACGGGCAATGCTCGCTTGTTTTCGGTACCCCGAGGCATGGATACTAATGACGTCAGATTCTGGGTGAGTCTTTGATCTCTACTGATTGGTTAGGGAAAAATCAAATTCCCTCCCCCTTGTAAATCGCCTTCAATGGAGGCGATGCCAGACTGAAGGTTCTGGGAGCTTCAGTCTGACACTCAGGCTATAAATGCACCCAACGTCATTTCAGCCTTTTTCCCATTGTCCAGTCAGATGATTTGAGAGGCGGGCCATCTGTGGTGGTCACGACAACAAGTTTACAATTGGTCTAAAACGGAGGAAAAACTGGTGGTAGCGGTTGCTGGATACCCAAAACTATACGGCACGATGATAGACAGAAGGTTGTTAAACTGCCCCCTGGAAACGGCTATCATCGAGGTGAAGCTCCTGGACCAAGTGGTGGTACTCCCCATGATCCACCCTCTTTTTTAGGGTCTCATGTACCCACACAGATCTCCGTTTCCCTGTGCCCGGCAACCTATTTGCTGACAGCCTCTCACCCTCAACCAGAGCTACAGCAAGTACCCTCTGCCTGAACATTTTAGTAACTTGGTACTTGGTAGCAGGCCGTGAACATGTTTATTTCTGCTGTTAAGTTTTGCCATTTTAAATTAGTGGTCTATGGGGATTGACCTGTTTCTGGAGCCAGCCTCAAGTAGCCACTCAAGGAACTGCAGCTTTTGGCACTTCCTCATTGGCTTCATTTTTCAAGTTGCTGCTTGGTGTTTAAAATCATGTATACTGCTACATGTAGCTACATGTAGCTTCATTCTAACTTCAGGGAAACAGATAATCTTGGTTAATTTCTCCCTTTTTTTTGGACCATATTCCTGCTGGGACATGTCTGGTTGTATTGGCAATTTTTCATGGTAGAAAAATTGCAGTCCTAATCTTGGCTACAATGATGGTGCAGAGACACCGAGACGTGGGAGACCCACAAAACGCTGACCAGTCAGAGCTGATTGGGCTTTTTTGGGAGGTAAAGTGGCCATTAAAGTGAACATTAAAACGTGTTAACATGTTCTGGTAGAAACTCGCAAGTATGAACCTGACAACAAGCACAATAGGTCCCCTTTAAGTTAGTAGTCTGTTGTTAGTACTGTGAATGGGAGCAGTTAGGTGGCCATGCGCGGAGACAGAAGAACAGAGAATCCCAGACAGATACAAAAATCAAATCACGAAGCTGGCAGAGAAAACATAGGAGAGGACATTGTGAACAAAGAGGAGAACAGATGGTTACAACAGAAGACAGACAAACAAGGAGACAATAAGATGCAGATGCAGATGATTGGACTGAAGAGTTAGATGGAAATGATGAATACAAAGAAGATGAATGGAAGGAGAGAAAAGGGAGCATAAACATGAGGAGAGTTGGGGCGTACCTGACAGATAATGTTGTCATAGTATGCCAGGTTGTGAGTGTGAGCTTGGGGAGCGGGCGGAGGGGTGTCGCACAGTTTCCTTACATTTGGCTGCGAGCCGTCGGCTGTTGTGGAAACGGAGAGGCCGTCCGTCTGTGGCTCGCTGCTCTGTGGGCGGTACTTACTACGGGAGGGCAAAGAGAACGATTTGTGTCATAAATATTTGCAGTTAATGTGGAAGGTTTGTTTTTTAAAATTGTGTGCATATGTATCTCTCCAGGTCCATATTTACATTGCTCTGCACAGTGTGAAACTGGGGTTAAAATTTACACACATACACACCATACACAAAAATATATCATCACAGTCTAAGAATATAAATAATTCAGTGCATACCAAAGAGAATTTGATCCGCTCTAAAGTCTACATTGCGGCTGGTGACTGTAAAATCTAATTGATTAGATGGATTTTACTCACTGTACCCTGCTTGTCGACACTTGACTTTATCTCCATTTAACTGCATTCTCACCTCCCTCCTTCTCTGCTGCACCTACACTCTCTTCATCATTTGATTTCAACATTCTTTCTCAGTTGTTAGGTTGTAAAGTCTTCCAGGAGCAACACTGACTGACACATGCACAGTCACAGCTGCCTCTCTCAGCACCCATCACATAGTGTAACTCACAGCACATTTTTTTTGACATTCGTACCTCTCTGTCACACACACCTGCGTTTGCGAAGGCGCTTGTTTTCATTCTTGAGGTGGTGCAGCCTCTTGGCAAAGAATACGATAATCATGAAGAGGAGGATGAGCACCAGGGAGGCCACGCCCACCACCACGCACATCACCTGGAACTCTGTGACCGCCCAATCGCAGCGCGTGCCTTTGTTCCAGATGTAGTCCTGCACGTTGCACCTGGATGCAAAGCAACACAAAAGGTAGAACTATTTGGCCTTTTTGATCAGTGTAACACTTTGTGGGTCAGAAAAACAGCGCAAAGTAACATTCCTCTCTCCTGACCTGCTGTATGAAAAGTCAAGAGGTTAAATATGAGTGTGTACCCTCTGCACTAGCATGTTTACAATATTTATAGCCACGGCATGTAAGCCAGAGTAAAGAGTGTAAAATGGTACTCAGAGTTGATGACATGGTGTCCCGAGGTCTGTCCGGCAAAGCAGGGATTCGGCCTGCAGCCTAGCCCATAATGAGATCAAAGGATCAGGATACGTGCGTGCATGTGTCAGCGTGTGTCTATCGTTTCCATATTCCGGCCTTTCTCTGTGCAATTGCATGCAAGTGTTTCAAGTGTGCCCGCGTGAGTGAGTGTGTGTACACGTGTGTGCGCTGTTACTCAGCAGGTACGACTAGAGGAGCAACAGTTTACCTCTGAGCTTACACTGAGTCTGCTGGTTGGGACAGATGGTGCTTTCAAGGCGTGGTGGTGTATGTGCGCGAGCGTGTGCGTCTGTGAATGTGTGTGTATGTGCGCGAGGAGTGCGTGTGTTTATTTCTCAGTGTATCCTTCCCTGACCTTACTGTGTCATCCTTATACTTTCTGTGTGTGCATACTGTGTGTGTCTGCATCAGCTGTCACCAGCCTATACGTGCACAAACACACTCTCCAAAACTGAGCTAATCCTCTGGCGACCCTGCTGTGATCTTGATGAACCCTCATGACATATTAAGCCAACCTTCTATCTATTCAGTGTCTGTACGCTTGTCTGAAGTGTCCTAAATCTTTTCTTTTGTGTTGGAGAGGGAACATATTGGAAATCATCCCAAGATAATTAAAAAGGGGAATGGTTTTAGCGCCCAACAACCCCTCCATACAGCCCTGCTGCCGCTCACACACTGTAGAGTTTTCTTCTATAAAGTCAGCTTTTAAATGCTACAAAAAAACTCAATCATTAGTAAACATGGTGAAAAATTGAGGCAACTGTGCAATCCTCTTTTCAATTAACTCAAGACAACAAACCAGCTCGTGTAATTAACAGGTTTTTGTGTATTTCTCACCTGCAGAAGGCTCCCATTCCTGCTACCACGGTACACACTCCTCCATTGAAGCAGAAATTGGGTTCAATGTCACACTCAGACACACACGTCCCAGGACCAGAGCGCACAAAGCCCAGCCTGCAGCCGTCGGTCCCCATGGCACCACCTAAGCCTAACTCTTTACCCTTGTCCGACCCTGGCATAGGAGGAGCTGGCAAGGAGGGCCCGCTTTCCATTTTAGGCCTCGTGTTTTCGGGGACAGCAGGAGAGCCAGCCAGGAGCGGATTCTCGTCCTCCATGTCAGGTGGAGGTGAGGGGGTGGGCTCAGGTTCTGGGGTCGAATCTAATGCCGAGAGGTCGTCATCAGGGGACAGGTAGTCGTAAAAGTCAGAAAGCGTCCATGCAGTAGGGTCCCCCGCTTTTTGCTTCTGGGGTTGTGGGGCTTTGGCCCATCCAACAGCGACATCAGAGGGCACAATATCCGGTGCAGGGCTGTGGAACTCCACGGTGATGACATCATCGGACATGGGATTTCCAGGCTGGTCTGGACCTGCCCCTCCGGCAGTGAGCTCCTCCCCAGCAGGTGGGTCCTCATCTACAACATCTAGGTGGGCGTGTTTACGAGAATGGTGACGTTTGGTGGAGCTGAGTGGGAGTTTAGCCCCGAGCCCAATCAGGTGGTCCCTCTCTGCAGAGTCATCACTGAGCACCATCCTGCTGTTCAAGGCCTCCTTGTTGACAGATGATTGGTTGTGGTGATGATGGTGCCTGGCCAGTGAATGCCTCCCTGTTGGTTGGACACAGAAAGGCATTAAAGAGGTAATCCAGAGTTTCAGTTCCATAAAGTTGAGAGACTCACAAGAGTTAAATTAAACAAAGAACTGTCAAAACACTTGATGCTATGCTTCCCATAATTCAACTCAACTGTGTCTTTTCATCAGACCCTATCTGCCTGGTTAACACCCATGTCTTTACAGATATAGTTCAACATTTTGGGAAATGATTTCACTCTCATATCTGTCCGTTCAGTATAAATCCGCCTGTTAGCTTATTCTAGCATTACAATGGGAAACACTGGGAAACAGCTGATCTGACTTTGTCCAAAATGAATACCAGCATCTCTGAAGCTCATCTCATTGGTGCAAAAATTGATTCAAATTGACATGCAATTGCAGGGGGTATGAGGGTGGTGGAGGTGTCTGTGTCTGATTATTTCTTGGCCAGGACCAGTAACTTCATGTAGTCTTCTTGTCAACATGAGGTTGCTAAGCAAACAGTGGCGCCTGAAGGAAGTTACCGTGCTTTACAAAGGATAGCAGATGGATGATGGTCAGTTTACGGCTTATTTTAAGATGAGTCTGGGACAGTTTGACAATCTGCTGCCAATTGTTGGACCTAATTACAGTTGGTAAAATGTTGAGACAACAATTTGTTCATATATGTCTTGAAGCTTGCCTACAGCGACGATGAAAGTGAGCTAACATTAGCTTCAAACCATGTACACAACTACTTGCTGTAATTTCCACCACAGAAGGTCCAACTTTCAAAACATCTGCCTGGACAATGGGAAAAACCGCTAATGATGTCAGGCGCTTTTTCAGCTCTGGGCTAAAGTTATTTTAACTCATGGCATTCACAGGATGTTCCTGCAAAATTGCAAGGCACAAAAAATGCAAGGAAAAATGCAAGGTGCTCAGCAACACCAAAGCAGTGAGTTCATTGAAAATTATTACAAAAAGCTGTGCCAGGCTGCTTAAATGCACCCTGTGTGATAGGGGCCTAACATGCTATTTAGTACATAACCAGTATGTGAGATTTTATTAGCAGGTCCACAACCTTAGTATGAAACCAATAGTTTTGATGCCATATTATATTATACAAACACTGGACACTGCACAAGCAAGAATATCCCGTAATGCAATGCAGTAGTGACGACCAAGGCAGCTCTGTAACGTTGATAAGGCTTTAATTTAAATATAAGATTTCACTTACAACTCAAGGGGTTGCTGGTAGGTGGTTTTTTGTTACCTTTGGACAGAGCCAGGTTTACTGCTTCCTATTTCTTCTAAGCTTGGCTGACTGGCTGCTGTTTGAGATATGACAGAAGTATTAATCATCTCGTTTAACTTATGATAAGAAAGCTTATTTCCCAAACCAGCGTATTACAGTAAAAGAAATGGTAGTAAAGCTAGCGGAAATAACCCCGATGACATCACCAGGGTTTGTGAAATTCTTCCAGAGCCACTGATGTCATCACAGAGGCTGAGTATTACAGTAGTGCCAATTCAATTAGGATTAGTATCATTTAGTATTATTAGTATTCCAGGACAGGTAAACTGACTTAGATGTGTAAAGTCGATTGATTCCCCCTTTAAAATAACCTTATAGTCGGTTATTTTCTGTGATCTTATCCAGATGTAGATGACAAAATGAGAAACAAAGGCTTATATACACACACACACACACACACACATAAGTTCCTTTTTTGGTGCTAATCCCAAAGTACTGACTGTGTTTTGTTTGATAAAGATTGTGGCCCAAGGATGAAGCATAAATAACTTAAATGGATCCCTACAGTATACGGTAGAGATGCCTTGAGGCTGTGCAGGCTAGCTTTCTAAGAGAATATTGTTATGTCACAATATCCTTCACCGCATATTCAGCTGAATTTGACAAACACAATACAATAAAAATATACAATATGCACCAAATGTGTTCTCACCGGAGAGGGCATTTGTAGAAAAGTGCTACTCAGCTGAAAGCCCGTTGTGGTTCACGCTTGAGAGCTAAGTGATTAATTGTCAAAGAAATCAGAACAAGATCTGAAGACTGCCGTGTAATCAGACTGTAACGATGTAGGATTAGGCACATTGAGTGACTGACTAATGTGCTCTGGTGACCGAGACTGGGTGAGGATTAGATTGGGATTTAGAGCAATAGGTTAGAGGCTGACTGGTCAGGCACTTCTCCCACTCCTGACAACCAGCAGAGAAAGATGCACACACAAAGAGGCAGAGCAGCGGACAGAGAAATTAAAAGGGAGAGGACAGAGAGGTACAGACAGATGGGAATTATAAAACCTTTTAACATGCAGCAGGCCACCGACAGGCCAGTCATTACGAACTCAGGCTGTGCAGCCAGACAATTCAAACCAGCAGAACTCTTTTAAATTCAATAGGAGATCCCAAAGTTTCCAAAAACACCATGGTGCAGCCCTAAAAACATGAAATCTTGGGTTTGCATATTTACCCCAGCATAAACATCATGTGGCTTCAATCGAGAGTGGGAAAGAGTTGGGAGCTGATGGAAATACTGTAAGGCGGTGTATAGAATAAATAGATTTTAAAGGAGTAATTCAAAATTTTGCTTATTTGCTTTCTTGCTAACAATCAGACGAAAAGATCTTCTCATCCAACTCTTGGTAAGATAACAAATTTAAAACATACAAACTGTATCTTTAAAGGAACAGTGTGTGGGATTTAGTGGCATCTAGCAATGAGGATTGCAGATTGCAACAAGTTGAATCTTCTCCCATGTGCCAAGCATGAGCTCCCTGTTAGGATTCCTTCCTTCCTTCCTTCAGTGTGAATTATCATTAGACGTCTCTTCCTCTCCAAAACAAACTGACCAGGTGATTTACACTAAAGAAAACCTACTTGTTGTATAATATTCTATTTCTGCATATATATCTCCCCTAATCCTACAGAGGAAAGAAAATAAAGAAAGATGGATGATCGTGCTGTTGCACATTTTTGGATATATTATGTTCCCACAGTTGACTGAATTTCAAGAAGCCACTTCTTCACACTTTTCCACTGGCCTGGTACATCTGCGCAAACGGCCAAACTCCACCAAATACTTGGCTGGACGGCTCCTCTCCCACTGCCACCCTGAAATCACTGTGTCCAATGAGATCACTGCTCTCAGTGTCTGGCACTTCATTCAGAGCTAATACTAAAACCATCTGAACGTGCCTCGAGTCACGAAGACTAGTGGTGGCTGAGGAACCATGAGATTCACCTCACACACACACACACACACACACACACACACACACACACATACGCTGCAGTTGCCATGGTGAGATGTAAAGAGGTGCCATGTTGAAAGGAGGAGTGGAGCGAGGGAGTTGCAGTGGAAACAGAGAATCCAGTGTTTGCGCTTTCTCTCTCTTGTTTTTCAATCAATCAGCCAGCCAGGCAGCGAGCGTTACATGCCAACTCCATCTCTGGGAAAACTGAGGTGGAATGAACCCGAATGCTTCACAGTTTGTCAAAGAGATAGACATGCCTCACCAGTTAAAACTGATTACAGCTGATTCAAATTTCATTTAAAGGTTCAATCTGCCAATTTGTTCCCCGTCGAGCTGCAGCATCCTGTTAGCAGCTGGCAGTTTTATAGCGATTACACGAGCAAAAGGGAACATGAAGAGATTACGAGGGCAAACTGAATGCACGAGCCTCTGCTTGGCAATTTCCTTCTTAGAAATGGTGTGATTTGTGTCCTTTAAGTGCTGCTCAGCACTTCACCTCTGGCATCACGCTGAGCATGTCACCATGGTAACAAGTTTCACCTGAGGTCACTGTGATTGGCTAGGGTGCAGATTCCCAGCAGCCTTTTCATCTTACCAGCAGGACAGGACACAGTGGGAATCACGGGCAGGTATCCTGCAGGCTTTTGTTGGATAGAGACAAAACCAGTCCCACTTTGTGACTGCGCCATTCACACACCGCTCATACTACAACCACCTGATTCACCATCAGCACTTGGGTGTGGATCCCAGTTTATCCACAGAGCCCAACTTCAGTTGTGTTAAACCAGCTGATGATTGGTCGACCAATATTCAACTTCTTCCTCCCGTTCTGTGTGCGCGTGCGTGTGAATAAAAAGGAGTCAGGGAGTTGCTGATGATCTGATCTGTTGTGACATATCATGGGCTTTCTGGGGCTACAGGGCAGATGGACCTCACAGCATGCACTCACTCAGACACACACACTCACATAGCAGAGCACCCAAGAGTCTGGGTTTGATCCACATAGCTTTACATGGCTATCAAGGGCAATCTGTGTTTCTGCATGTTTGTGTTTATGTGTGGATTTATTTATTGGTTTTGCATACAGCTCAAATTATTAGTTGGGTAATCAATAGGATGATTAAAAGCTGATTAATCTGCAAACATTTTAATAAGGGATTAACTGTTTCAGTCATTTTTGGGCAAAATTGCCAAAGTTCTACTGATTCTGACTTTTCAATTGTGAGAATGCTACTTTTTTCCTTCACTTTGGGCTTTACAAAAATGATGATGAGCATTTTTTCCATTTTTTCTGACATTTTATAGGCAAACATAAATCGATTAATCTTGAAAATCAATTTGAGTCTTCATAGGAACATTGATGGAATATTAAGCAGTGGTGTAGTGGAAGGTATTTGCAGGTATACAGGGTATACCACTTGCAGTATACCACCCAAAAAGCTGAGAGCATACCCACTCCGCCCTTGGTAACCTACCCATGTATCTAATAGTAAATCCACCCCATCAACTATCACCGCATCACTGTTATTAAGGCTCTATATTCCACTGTGCTGTGGTTTTCCTTTTTATTTGGTTGTTCGAATGATAATAGCTTTTTTTTTTACAGCCCATTTCAAGGGACCCAAGGACGCTTTCCACAAATGAAGGCCACACATTATGGGTCATGGGGGACAAACTCATCTTCTTCTCACACCTCTCTCAAAGATATGAATGAAGATTCACCTACACATTACTCCTAATGAATCACATATGTCCACAGCCACGTGGTCTCTGGGGTTTAAAGGATGACAGACAGGACGCCTGGCGTGTATTTACCGGTCAATATGTCACTGTGTTAACGCCTGGTTACACATTGAGGGCGCGAGATGTGGCGTGGCGGGGAGGAGGGGTACAGTTGCAGCGCGCGCCCACGTGAACCCCGGCGACCCTCTGCGTGCACGAGCCACCCTGTTGCTGGGCAGCGGCAGCAGCGCCCATTTCTACATTTCTGAGATTTGCCACATTTCCACTATTCTTAGCGCGCGCGCGCACGTGTATGCCAGACAGATAGAGCACAGAGATTTGGAGATTTTGGTTCCCACACTGCCTGCCTCCGAGTCTCAAGGGATGGACAGACAGTAAAATGAGAAGGCAAAGGGGGGTGGGAGGTGTAGCGGGCCCGGTTGTCTCGGGCTTCCCCTGCATGTCTGGAGGAATTCAATCCTTTCAGCGCCGTGAATGGGCCTCCTGTAGCCTGGCCACGGTGCACCTAATCCCGCCTTTGTCTGGGCCACGCACCGCCGCGGCGAGTCCCAGCTGCAGCACCGAACTGTCAAACGTCTCTGTCTCTCTCTCTGATCACCTCCAGGCCTGTCTGTCTTCTTTATACAGATGTTCCCCACTCGAGCTTATAACATTTGGAACAAGCCAGTCACCTTTGTTTTAAATAGGCTGCTCACAGGAGAGACAGTTTTCCCCCTCAGAATCTGAATTAACATGAGAATGGCTGGACCGTGGACACAGCAAGTGGTTCAAGTGTCTTTAACAAAGCAGTTCTCAGCATGACAGAACATATGCTGGCAGAAAATATCACATCACACTGTTGGATTTCTCAGCACAGCCTATAAGGATTGATAGAGTCTTATAAATGCAATTGAAATGCACTTAACATGATTATTGCCAAAATACAATGGATCATCGGCGCATTTAAGATATCAGAGTCCACACAAACCAGAATTTAAAACCAGCCTATCAATACCCGGCGTGTTACTATCAAAAGGCCCAAAGACTATCACTGCTGCTGATAAAAAGATGATTGGATACTATTAACATCAATGCCCAAATCTTAAATGGCAGTTGCATCCTCATGCCGCATACGTGGACAAGTGTCATTTTCCATATGGTATGCCAATGCAGGTGTAATCTGATTCACGCACGTGCGCGTTTGCTTGCACAAACACACGCACACATACACACCACACACGCACAGGGTGGGACTCCGGTAGTGCAGCGGACTTACCGTGAGCAGCCAGGGGGATGATGACCATTGAGATGGTCAGTAGCACCTGCCAGGTGCCCAAACGACGGTCACCGCGCGCCATACCGCTGGCTATCTCTTTGAAACACTGATGCAAACTGTGATCCCGTTCCTCGTTATGCCGGTCAGATTGTGGGACTGCACGATAATCCTCACAGTGGATCCTCCAAAGTTCAGATGTTGCCGGTTTTCGCCATGTCGCCGTTAACCTCCCCAACGTTTGGCCTCGCTCACAGCTGCTGTGTGTGTGTATGTGTGTGTGTGTTAATCTCTGAACCGTTTAACGGCTCGGGTTCGGTTCCATCGTACCGAGCGGCTGCCCTCTCCTCCACACCTTTAGCGCGCGCGTCTGCGCTTTGGGGTCCGTCGGAAGCACCAGCAGGAGCACCGCGAGGAGCTGGAGTAGTACTGCGCGCGACCGGCGGAGGGTCTGCAGACGAGATTTTAATGAGCCGGGTTTGCCGCTGCCTGCCTGTGTGGATGCGATCCGTTAAGCCTTTCCCCTTGGCTGCGAAGGCGATAAGAGGCAATGCACGGCACGGCACGGCGCGGCGCAGAACGGCACGGCACGTCGTGCGCGCACAGTGCGTTTGGGTGTCAAAGTGCCAACACACACACACACACACACACACACGAGATGCTCGCCAGTGTCCAGCCTGCTGTAGCTGATGAAGAACGGAGCTGAGTGGAGGATTTAAGCAGCGTCTGCTGTCACTAGAAGTCAATATGCTCCATTTTACACGACAGTTAATGTGTGTGAACATCATGTGCAAGAGGCGCTCTTTCTCTCTGGGTGGCGTTTATGTGTCAGGGGGCTGTTTGGGTGCATATTGGCCAGCAGAGAGAAGTGTGTTTGTGTGCGTGCGTGTGTGTGCACGCTAATCCTCTTACTGTTGTATTGTGATATATGCTCTAGACAATGGCATCTGCTGCTTTTAGACCCCACCACCACCGCCACCACCACCTCCAACACACACACACACACACACACACACACACACCCTGAACCCCCCTTTCCACATTTTCCCTCTCCCCTTCCCACTAAACACCCTGACACACATCACTTTTCACCCTACCTTTGCTTCCTTTGCCTTTACAATCTTTCCTCCCATCCTAAATGCCACAATAGAATTGCTTCCAAATGCATTTATGTAATCACTGCTCTGTGACACTAATCCATTTTTCTGTTTCTATGTCTCCTGCACTGTTACAAACAGCAAACAAAACGGCTTGCGGAGGGCTGACTACCCACTCTCCTAAATGGGATTAAGTCAGATACATTATACGAAATAATTAAGACCAAATGCTTTGTTCCTGGTGAAAAAAGCATTTTCACTTATTACTCAGTGAATCAGGATCCAAGCCACTATTTTATGCAGCAACCCGCTGTTCCCTATCAATCATCTTCCAAAAAAAACCCTACCCATACCTCAAATCCCCACCCTCATCGACAGAAGAGTGGGATTTTGTACGAGAAGGACCCAGCAGACTGAGAGAGGCAGAGATAGAGAAAGGGACAGCCACAAGAGGGGAAGAGAGGGAGAGATAGGGTGTGTGTGATGGGATTCAGAGGATGGACAGACACGGGTGAGCGTTGGAGAGAGGGAGCTGGAGAGTGGTGGAGATGGAGAAACAGAAAAATGTTCACTGATGCACTGCCAAACAGAGCAGAACGAAATTGCTTCTGCACCCGCCTACCCCCCATACACACACACACACACACACACACACGCACACAAACACATATCTGCCTTTAAAGACACACACATACACACACATCCTATCTTTCACCTCTCATCCTCCCATAGTGACTGAATTAATTGCAGTATGTGCATTTTTTACAAGCTGGATAGGTTAGTTTTCAGACTATGGGGACGAAACAGACGTGTTCTCTTGTGCAGAATGAACAGATGGATCTTACTGAGAACCAGAATGGAAGAATAGCACACCTTAGTCGACGCCAAGCTCTGCGCGTGCATGTGTTTGCGCATGTTGTGCTTAGGCCACGGCAGTTTTTCCATCCTGTTCCTGGGTTGAACAGTGAGGGGTGGACAGGATGTCCAAATCCCCTCTAGTGCATTCCCTGTGTGTGTCAGGGAGTGTGTGTCCAATGTTGCAGCATACTCTCTGGGGAGAAGAAAAGGCTGCTCATTAAGCTATACCTACATCCATAAGGCCTACAATATGTATGTCTAGGAAGAGTATGGTCAGGAATCTCATCTCTTCAATATGCAGTGTACCCCAGCGTTTATCACATTCTGAATTTCATCTCTGGGCCTCAATGAAGGCCTCTAAATATATATTTCCATGGAAAAATGCTTCATTTCTTAGTAAAAATAAGACACAATGTGCTCAACTCATGATTAAACCTCAAAGACTGGTTGCCAGACTCTTAATGGAGGAAATAAAAAAGGAAAGACTAGGACAGCACGCTAATGTAACTGCTTAATATTGCCACATGGACGTTCTGGGAAAGATGCCCTTCTTTAACGTGTATTCTGGCAATTTCACAAACAACATACACAGCTGGGGTTAATTATAGGTGACCACAACCAGCACAACAAGTACATCCCAGCAGGGGGAGCCACAGCCTTTCCAGGCACAGAGTCTCATGATGTAAGCTATAAAATGACAAGTTGCATTTACTTCATAGGGAACAGGCAAATGGAAACTCCTCATTCACCTCACTGGGGATGAGAGTAATAAGGGAGTGTATCCACAGTGTTGGTGAAGCTATTAAAAGCATAAAGTTGCGAGCTACCAATTACTTCACACTGGAAGACACCGAACTACAGCACAGCTACCCTATAGTTCAAACTAAATTAAAAAATGTGATATGATTATAACAAAATATAATTCAAAAGTAAGTCACACACCAGCAAAACATGCCAATCAATTGCAAAATAGTGCCCACTTGTTCACAGGTTAGACATAAAGGGAAAAAATAAAGAAATAAAATACCCCACTGGTGATGAAAGTGCAAAGAAGGGCAGCTTTGCTTTTCTACGTCTATCCCACAGACACCTGCCTTCAGAAACTAGAGTTCAGAGGGGGAGTAGGGGAGAGTGGGGTGATAGGAAGTTGAGCCACCCCTTGTTTCTAGGCAACCATAGACAAAATTGATCATGTGACCACATTTTTTTTTCAAGAGTCATCCATTTTATTTACTCACCCTGTGATGAGGAAAGGCGCATGGAATAAGTAGTAGGCACATTTAAGTAAAAAACAAAAAACCTTCTTTGTTATTCAAAGTTTTTTTTATGTCCAAATATCTCACACATGTGTTAGTGCTTATGATGTTACAGCATGAGGCTTTACTGTTAGCACGATGTTTGGTCTAAACTGCTGGGTGTTACAAGTTTGTTAAAATGGTGGGGGTGGGGTAATTTTAGCCAAAAGGCCTGAGGGAAGCTGAGCCACTGACCCACTTATGAGTATTTTTTACTGTAATTCTACATTGCATTCTTACTTTTTTTATCCCCAAAATGATTAAACATTTTGAATTTTAGACCAAAAACAATCATGCCTCACTTCTATAAAGGGAAGACAGACATCAATCAACTCCTCTTGTGGATTTGGACCAAGCAGTAGGAAAATTATAGAATGGGACATCTGTAAATCTGGTGATACGTTATGGGGCCCATAGAGCAGGGCACTAGAGACTTACAGCAGCATGAAGTACAGTTGTGCGACCAACTTCTGCCAACCAAGCAACTGACTTCTAGTTTAGTGCTCCACTAATTTTAATATGGACTAAATGTTTTAATTTTGTGGCGCCTCTAAACTGGAACCAAATGGATCAAATCTCAGTCGTGAAAGAAATCATTTCACAGGGGTTGTGACACTCAAATAAGTTCATCCACTGATTTACAAATGTCTCTTTCCCAATGTAAGTCTATAGCCCCATTTCCACCGAGCAGAATGGTACAGTTCAGTTCGGTATGCATTTTTCTGTTTACACAGCGAAAAGTTGCGGATGGTACCAATGGAACCGTTCCGTACCGTCCCCACTTTTGGTCCCCCCTCTGTTGGTTGGGGTACCTAGCACACAGATCTGGTACTAAAAGGTGGAGCTGTGAACACTGCAGTCTGTTGATTGGTCAGTAGAGGATGGTCACTCTGCTCAGGGCTGAGTTGTGGCTGGTTTTGAGGCTCATGTAACTACTGTTCATACCGTGTTTTATGAGTAGACTGTAAATGAAAGGATGTTTTGCTGCCTCTTGTAGCAGCTGGAGTCAGAGAAAAACTTAATTCACTGGGCCGACTGCCAGCAGCTTTTAAGGTGGAACGTTAACTTGTAATGTTACTCAGTGTATGAGATGACGACGTGAATCCATCAACACACTTTAAATATTTTATATGAAAACTTTTACCATCACTTTAGTTTTTATATGACATACACTTTTAGTAATGAGTGGATCTTCAACCGTTTGACCAGGTTTTGTGAATGCCATATATTCCAATCCTTACTTGGAGAAAAAAAAAAAGCGTTGCAGAGCATTGTTCCTGTGGGCTCCAGCAACACCAAACCCCTGAGCTTGCCTAAAGGGACTAAATGCACAAACCTGCTATATCTAAATATCTCATTGAGAAATACTGCAGCCTATTTTATTTTGTTCTGAAAATTTTGGCGTGTAACTCTGTTCTGTGGACGATAAACGGGGCACAGACTTCCCTCTGTGTCACATGTGACAAACTGTACACAACAGTGGCAATATCAGTAACTTGGCATGGCAGATTTAATTAGATTTTAAAAACTTACTCTTTGATGCAGAAAATTAAAAGTTGAAACAAAATCCTGTAGCTGAAAAAAGGCCTTGGGTCTTTAGTATTGTCATGCATGCAGAAATACAGTTTTGCTTTCTTTTCTTTCTTTATTTTGGGCAAATTTCTAAATGAAACATGTAGAATTCAATGACTTTTAGGAAGCCGACATTGCGCATAAATGGTGTAATTGTGACGATTTTTAAATAAAACAAGCCTTTTAAACCTGCTTGCAGACCTTTGGGTTCAGACTATATTTAAAATGAATACAAAATACGACCATTTCAAGTTGTAAGCCCCTCCCCTAAGGCAAAATAAAAAACACAAGTCCTTCCCCAATGCTTAAATCGAAAAATTAAAATTATTTGACATGCCGCCCCCATTTTGCACCTCCCCCCTTATCAGTAAGCCTCTTACCTGGACTTTCAATGGGACCATGCCAGTGGCGTAAGGAAATTATGACGGGCCCTAGTGCACACTATCGTGCACATTGTCTTGACACAAACAGAGACTTGACACTGGACAACATCAACATACATATTACCCAGAAATCATCACTGCATATCTGACAAAAAATCAAATAAAGTAAGAAATTAATCATTTAATTGAACAGTTTTTATGGTATATTTATAGATTTTATAGCTTTAATAGAAAAAGCATATAATTTTGTTTTAGATAGCTACTGACTACTCTGAAGTAGTCAGTAGCCTGCTCTTTCTGCGGGCCCCTCCACCCCAGGGGCCCCTGCACTGTTTAAATTTACGCCCTGGACCTTGCTTCTGTCCTTATTTTTATCTCCCACGACTATAAATCAACCAGAAGTTTATTCACAGCGTGAGATGGGTAGTGTCAGTCTACTGGATAGATAAAGAAAATAAACTCAAGGTGCTTTAATCGAGAGATCAGTGTTGCCACTAACTGTTGTGTCTAACAGTTGGGAATCTCATCTGAGATTCTGATCTGAGAGCTGACCAAAGAATATGCAACAGACACACTTTGTGTCATTTGCTGTATAGTGAAATGCACAGTGAAGTTAAAATTTTGCAGTGCAACAGTGATAAAAGACCGGCTACTTGAGACATGACTTGATTTTACAAATACAGCATCATGAACAAAATAACTTGATGGAGGGGATATTTTGCTCTTGAATGAGTAGGCCTACGAGTGAAACTGAAAGTCACTGCATGTCAGTGTTTTTCCACTATGGCAGTGATTATATTCTTCAGCTTCAGTCAGCTTACAGCACTGTAGACCTACTACAAATATGGCTTCAAACATATCAAAATAAATATGTACATTGTACAGAACAAATGTATAATGTTGTATGTTAAAATCCTGTACACTTTCAGATATGCTCATAACATTACAGGATAACGAGAGCTACTCATTCTTCAGACTTTTACGTTCAACTTTCTGCTGTCTGAATAGCTGCACTGAGAGGAAACACAGCACATCCTCTCAATGTAAATCTTTGGGAGGGGCGGAAACATGTTCAGCTGAGGCTGAACCCTGACATTGGATCTAAACATCCAGCTGACGCCAGACTGCTGTGAAGAGAGAAGATATGGGGGATTCGTAAGTCATTTTACCTTCAGCTATTGGTGATATTGTTTTGTATGAATACTGTAGGTTTCTGAGTGATACAGGGACAAAGAGTTTATTTCTAAACACCACAAATGGGAGGGATGCCAATAAACAACTTATCCTCGTATAACGGTTCTTATGATATCCTACACAGCCCAAGAGCAACGTTACTTGCTTATCATTAAGTTACAGAAGTTAGGTTTAGATCGGTAAAGTATTGGGGTTAGGTTTCAGAAAAGAAAAGTGGTGATGACGTATCTGAAATAACCCAGAGTTCAAGTAAAGTTCACTCAAAGTTCACATGGTTTTTTTTCTAGGGGAAAGTCCTGGGAGAAAGTCTCATATGACACATCAACCACCTCAGATATCGATATTGAAAACGGGGATTACTTCCTCTCTGCTATCTCGTTGTATTTTAGAAGTAAAACTGTGCAAACAACTTTATGTTGTGAACATTTAGTGTATGTACTCTTTACTTTTCCACAGTGTTGTCTGCACTCAGACCACATAGTTCACACCCAGCAGCATCTTCTTTAGTTTCATTTTCACTCTCATGAGGACATGTACTAACAGTGAAGGTTTAATACAAGAGGATAAAAAACACAAGGAGGAGGACTCTGTGCTGCAACCGAGAAGAGGGGAGGAGGGAAATTCCTCAGGATCAAGGTTACGCACAGACAGAGCTCACTGGCAGCAGGGCCGGCCCTAGACTTTTGGAGGCCCAAAGCAGATTTGGTTTGGGGGCTTCTTTAAACATTTTCCCCTCCTTTTTTCTGATGCAATTTATTTATTTTATATGTTATTTTAGTGGTTAACTAGAGTTGCATCATGTTCACATTCATATGGCACAAAGTGTCTCGTACTTCAGCGGCATTTGATATCTGACATGGTTGTTGAAGACTGTGATTAAAAGCTTCAAAGGGCTCTGTATGCACACAGTATGTTTTGGGACAATGTTTCAAATACTTAACAATAATTTGTGCTAAATTATGACTGTTTTCTGAGTCTTTTCCCTTTTTTAGACTAGTCTCAATAAAATTTTTTGTTAAGTCGACAGAGAAATTAGTCGCCAGGAACGTCCTTAGTATATATACATGAAACTACAGAAGAGACCTTCTGTTTTTATGCACAAAAAATATTTCATTCTATCTTATTCCATTCCCTTTTCTATCAACATTTGAATTTGTGCATTTTCATTTAAAAAAATAAACAACATTTCAGATAAAAAAGCTGAGCATAGACTTTATATAAACATGGATTCCGTATCTCCACATACTCCCACTGTATAAAATTGAAGCCAAAATATCCCAGAAATGGTCGCTGCCATTTTGCACTGGTGACATCATTTGGAACCAGAGACTGTGCAGTAGTGATTGATTGTTACCACACTGATTGGCACAAACAGCTGTCAATCTTGATGCCACGCCCCCTTTTATGGCATCGAGTAACCAAACTTATCAGAAAAATATCATGGTATAAATCAAATGATATAGTGATGCTGACTGTTGCTCACTCTTTCTAGGTTGTCTTTCAAACTTCTAACCTTGACCTAAGTCACTGGTTCAGTGTCAGCGATAGTTTTTGGAGTGGCAGGGCCAGTGACAGTGGGAGTGGTGACGGGAATTACCTTGTACGCCATCCTGGTAAGTGATTCAACAGTCTCACCAAAAGAAGGTTGTTTTGTCTGAAAAATTAATAAATTGCACTATGTAATTATTAAAAGTTTCAAGTGTCAGTAATTGTTTGTTTTTTGTTTGTAGACAAGTGAAGACAATCCACAGGCACCCGCCCCACAGATGGAGACAAATTAATGACTCTAAAATGAACTGCAAAAACATCAGTTGAATCATGACTGCAATAAAAACGATGGCAGACAAACTATGGTTTTGAAGTACATTTTTGTGGGTGAAGATTTTTCATGATTTAGCACTGTGTGAGGTAAAGAGCACGATGTTTAAATCCTGACTTTAATAGCGTAGCATTACGCAACCTGAAAGCCTGAAACCTTTGATTTAGTTTGAGCTCTTCAACCATTAAATGGTCTTCTCTAGTTGCTGGGCACCTTTTATTCATTAATGTTCTGGTTCAAAAATGATTCAGCCTGATTGAGCCATCTCTTGCTTTCAGCTGAGTTCTGAATATTTGGGCCAAAAAATCTGCAGGGTGCACTCTTAGCAAGCAGCCTGTGCATTATGTTGTCTAGTTTCAGAGGGCATACTAAACAGCAATGTAAATACATACCCCTTAAACCAGTGTGATGACTTTGTGACTGAATACTTTAGGTAGTATAGGTTAGTTTAATGAATTGAATGATATCTTACTATATAATGACGAAAACTCTGTGTCTGTGTGTGTGTCTGTTCCATGTTTTTCTCCTCACTGACTTGGTCAATCCATGTGAAATTTGGCACAGTGGTAGAGGGTCATGGGAGGATGCGAATGAAGCAATATTACATCAATTGGCCAAAGTGGGGCGCTATAGCAACCGATTGAAATTGCAAACTTTGAATGGGCATATGTCATGCCCCGTATGTCATAGAGACATGAAACTTTGCACAGAGATGCCTCTCCTCATGAGGAACACATTTGCCTCAAGAACCCATAACTTCCGGTTATATAGATTTTCTGCCATTTTGAATTTTTTGAAAAACACTTAAAATCGATCTCTTCCTAGGAAGTTTGACCGATCTGCATGAAACTGGGTGAACATAATCTAGGGACCAATATCTAAAGTTCCCTCTTGGCAAAAGTTGGAAAACTTACTAAAACTGAGCTTCTATAAGGCAATAAATATTGTGGAGGGCGTGGCTCATCACATAAAGGTGTATAACATCTCAAGGGTTTCACCGATCACCATGCAACTTTGTAGGCATATGACCACACATAATCTGAGGGGACCCCTCCATTATTGACCCCATCAAACAAAATGGGGGCGCTAGAGAGCTAATTTCTTATCTAGGCTGAACCGCCATATGATTTTTACCAAACTTGGTAGATATGTAGAACAGGACGCCTCAAGGTGACTGGAGAAATTTAACTCTAATTGGCAACTGGGTGGCGCTATAACAACAGAAAAATGCTTAAAAATGGCTAAAATGCGACCGATCGCTGTGGCTCCCCCTGTGGCCGAATGTTGTTGTATTTTTTTTACTAATTTTTGGTATGACTAAGTCATGGTATGGTATGCTGCTGCAACAAGGGCTAGCCGCACCTTTCCCATGTGAACTACCAGTGCGCCCCACTTTTAAATCAATACAACATATAAACACTTTAACTATCTGCCTTTCAACGTGCTACCTCAACTTCTAATATACAGTTTTAGCCCACTAACTATCCCACTATTGGCAATGGTACTATTGTACTTTCAATAAAGTGATCGTACTATCAAATTCACAAAAACTCTGTCTGAATACATTGCTCTTCTTAATGGGTTCAGTTGACTATTTAATCTGCATTTTCCTATGACCTGCATCCCAAACACACACCATGTGAAACTGTACGTGGGCAGCTGTGCACTCAATGGGTATGGACTAGTTTCCTTGTATATTTGTGGAAAATACAATATCAAAGTGATTTTTTAAATGCATTTATTTATTTTTGTTTTGATTTTTTTCAGTTATATTAGTCAAGCTGACATCTTAACAGTTTAGTAATTTCCCAAATTAAAAAACAAACTGTGTTCAGTTGAGATGACATATGGTTTTCATTGACTAAAAGAACTGAGAAATGCAAAGTAAGAAAAAAACCCACTGTCTTTTACTGGGTGGCACCATAAACGGTTAAGGCAGACACTAGACTGTAACCTAAAGTGAAAGTAGGTTGTATGGAACATGTGACATGTCACTTGCTTACAGACTGATAAGGAACAGGATCACCTGTTCATGATCAAACCTGTATCAGGACTGTTTGCCAAGACAGAGACATCTCAGTGGAGCCATAACAACTGCTGAAACAAACAGAACGCTTCTCTCAGATGCCTTTGATGACCCTCACCTTCTTCATTCTTCTCACAGTAGAGTTATGTAGTATGAGGATGGGGCATCAGTCTACTGGAGGGATACAGAAAATAAACTCAAGGTGCTTTGTTAAAGGGAGCAGTGTGACTTCTGCACTGGCGACTGTAATAAGACATCTGACACACTCTGTGTCATTTGCCATGTAAATAGTGACATGCACACAAGCATGTGTTACCTTGAATCAGTACAAATGTATCTGAGCCAGTGAATATCCATGTTTTTCCACCTTTGGATGACAATTACATACTGCAACCTTACAGCATTGTGCAAGAAATATTGCTTAAAATATGTCAAAATAAATATTGTTCTTTAAATTGCGCAGGACAAATATGTTTCGTGTGTTAAAACCTGTACACTGTACACATGTACCTGTACACTTACAACTTTAGAATTAATTTTCTTTGTCTCAAATCAAACATATTACTGCTTTTGAATATCTACTTTCATCCTGGGCAACTCTGTATTGCTTTTGTTACCATTATAATCATTTGTTGAATGGGTTTATTTATTTGATCATTCTTTTTCTCGTTTTTTTCCCCACTCCATTCACAAACACACACGTGCGCACAGACAAACATATAGTCATTAACACATCCACCGAACCTTCATCCTAGCAACCATGCCTAGCCAATCATAGGAGCAGCACTAATGCAGGCAGTGCTGTGCAATGTATAAATGCAGGCGTCTCTCACCGAAGCCATAATCCAATTGCTCTCTCTGATGATTGGCTTGTTTTTGCCTGTATGCCCATCAGTTTCAGCCTGTGCTCTACTTCTTGTTTATTTGCTTCTGATATATTTAGTCACAAAATCTCACAACATTGGATAACAGGACGAACAGGATGACAAGACTTTTACTTGTATTGGTATATTTCTACTCCGTGGTATTGCTTCTTCCAATAAAAGATGGTCCACTGCTGTTATAAACTGTAAAACGGCAGACATAGCATAATCAGTTATTGTTTTTGAATCCCTGCAGTGTGCTAAAATGGCTAAAACACACTCTGTAATGTCTCCCTGACATCTAACAAATATGCAAGACACCACGTTAATTTATTTGTGTGCCTGGACCACGTTATCAACACGACATAACATCAATTTACCTCCTGTACATCCAAACATCCAGCTACTGCAACTATCGCCATATCTGTACCGGTGCCTGCACAATCACTGTATGTAATTCTATGAAGTACACACCCCTCTGGCAGCTGGGGAGTAGGGGTGGGAACACAGCACATTCTGTACATATGAGGGGCTGCAACAAGTAAAACTGAAACTGACAGCAAACCCTGGCACTGAATCTGAACGACTGATCCCAGAATATCACAGAGAGGATAGAAGTAAGACACCAAGGATGGCTTGCATCGTGTAAGTAATTTTGCCCTCAACTATTGGACAGGGTTCTGTTTTTATGCTTCAGTGTTAAAAGACAAGCAATTAAATAGTGCTTAGATTTTACGTCTGAACAAACAAAGCAATATTTTCTTGAGGTACATGCTTTGATTTGATAATTGTTGTACAGTTTTTGTTGTAATTTAAATGTTATTTCATGGTCTGTTGTCACTGAATTAGCAGTCTGAGCCTGCAGCCACACTTTGGCTCTGTAAGGCTGAATGTGGACACAATGGTTCTTCGCTAATATGCTGATGTTTAGCATCTGTGGCATGCAAACCTTTGCTGATTTGTACAAAGCACGGAGTACAGCAAAGTACAGTTGAGGCGTGTGTGAATGTCAGTAGCTTTGCAGGTATTTGGTCATACACTGAAGTACAAATTAAAAGTACAGTATGACCTGATGATAGATGAAAAGTCACATCACCACAGTTAATATAATCATCCTGAGGAAGACATAAATATCTGTACTAATTATAATGGCGTTAATTGAATTAAATATTGTCATGCTGCAGTGAGTGCAGATGCTGAATGTTTCTCAATCCTTTTCAGGGAGAGTTGTGCCTGTGCAGTTTCAGAAGCCGGCGCTGAAGTGGCAGTGCAGGGTGTGACTATATCCCCTTTGTGTGGTGGGCTGATTTTTGCTGGGGTAGCAGTAGTGGGAGTAGCAGTGGCCGTGTACCTGGTAGGTGATTCAGCAATCTGTCCATAAGAAACTGTGCTATACTTAAATGTTAAAGTTAAATGTTAAAGCATGATTCACAACAACAAAATCATTTCAAGTGTCTTTTTCTGTTTTTGTATTTCTTGCAGGACAACAAAGAGAAACAAAAAAGAAGCTGACAGAAGAGCTCATTCCTCTAAAATGAACTGCCAAAGCATCGATGTAGTCATGACTCCATAATAAAAACAAACTTGGCAGACGAACTGTGATTTTGAAATTAATTTTTGTATTGACATTCACATTTATTCCTACTGCTCACAGATGACACTGCCGTTTTTCAAAGCATAGTTTTAGCTTCAGTTACCTCAGGCTGACACACAGCATTCAGTAACTGTAAAAAACTTATGGAGGTGAAGATATTTTATGATTTAATGGCTGCTTTAAGTTGCTCCACTCCCATGCTCCATATTCTCTGAGATAGCACCATGTAAGGGAAATAAGAAAAGTCATTTGTCTTATGACACAGGACGTTTAAAACCTGGCTGCAGTGGAGTTACCCATCCTTCTTCTAAACTTGGCCTTAATCTATTCCACCTTTTTGTCATAGCCATTCACTTCCCCCTGCCTTGCAGCAATAATGTCTCCTAACATAAAAAATGTTTTAAAAAAGGAAAGAAAACAGCAGAATGTCAATCTCTCTTTTCCTTTCGATTCAAAAATAAATATTTTTCCTTGTAATATAGCAGCATTTAAAATGCTAGGACAGCCATTTCTTAATTCACCAACCATTATTGTTTGAGGGCACATGGTTAAGAATATTGATCTTGATGCAAACCATCTTTTGATAGTCGTCTAAAAAACCACAGGGTAGAAGAGGCAGAACCAAAATAAATGTGACATATGTTCAATTTTAGATTTACAGAAACAACAGTTTCCTTTTTTTTTTTTTTTTTTTTTGTCGGCAGTATTTTGCATCAAGTTTTTAAGTGCACTCTTAACATGCAGCCTGAGTATAATGTAGCACGATGTGATTTTGCCAAGTATGCTCCTGGATCAACACCCCACATTGCGTTTACCTGTGCTTCTTTCAAAAATCCTAGTTTTCCAAATTGAAGTTAGTAAAATTTTTAAAAAAAAATTACTTGGTAACACTGAACAAAAACCTTTTCAGCTACTGCAGGGTTAGTGAGTTAGCTTTCTAACTACGTTGGCTATGCTAATGAGTAAACTTGCCAATAGATGGGAATATTGGCGAGCTAGCTTGCTAACTAGGTAGTTATGCTAACAAGTAAGCTTGCCAATAGATGTTAGCGGGCTAGCTTGCTAACTAGGTAGTTAAGCTAAAATGTTAGCTTGCTAAGTAGGTAGGCTATGCTAACAAGTAAGCTGTTCACTAACAAAGAGTTGCAAATTCCTGCAATTAACACATTTACATTTTTTTGTTTAGTTTTATTGAGGATTTTGTTCAATTGTATTATCTTAAATTTGTAAAACTAGCTCTGAAGAAGCACAAAGGAATTTTGAACAAAGCACAGGAGCAGCACACTGATGATGTCAGAGGGCTGTGATTGGTTGGTTGGTTGTAATGTTGTTCCTGGAATGTGATTTGGGATGTTGATCCAGGAGCATGTCCTACTTAGCAAAATCACATTGTGCGTATACCGTAGTTTAGTTTTAGAGGGCTTATCAATGATATAAATGCATACCCCCGAACCAGTCTGATGACTCTGGTCACATTTAGTTTATCATTACACTCCTTTTAGTTATGTAAAATAAACTTCTATTTGTTGCAACTCATGTGTAGTCTCCCCACCTTTGTCCCAGCTTGAGCCAGGTTGTGACACCATTGCACATAACATTGTGACTTAAAATGGCAGCCGAACAGAAAGAGTGGAAACACAGAACATCCTGATCCTGTACATGTGTGAAGTGCAGGAAAATGCACACCATCTGTGGTTTTACAGTGCCCCGACATTTGCAACATATTTGAATCTCGTGTTCCCCGTTGAGTACATCAACAACATCAAAAAACAGGCTCAACGGGCTGAGATGCCCATCTAGTTGGCTAAATAGTTTATTTGTGGCCAAAACTAAATATTACTGTGGAATACAACATTTTCTGATGACAAGCTGTGGCCCATCCAATAAATGTCCAATAAATCTGAAATCTTTGGTTAGTTGAGTTTTTTATTGACTAAAGGAATCAACAAAGTAAGAAAATAAACAACTGCTTGTTCCTACTTTAATGCAGACTAGAACAGCAGGAAGGGTGTAACCACAGCACTTAGGCATGAGAGGCTGAAACTGAAACCAACAACATAACTTCACATTGCATCTGAGTGATACAGCTAATCCGAGAACATCACTGAGACAAGAAAAATAAAATAACGAGGATGGGCACTGCAGTGAGTGTGTAAATAATTTTACCTTCAGCTACTGGTGATAGGGTTCTGTTTGTTTAGTGAAATGCAGCAAAGTAGAAAAACCTGACAGCACAGCAGCAGTCAAACGGACGCGCTTCAACTCATAGCTATCCGGCTGTCGGATTTATGGCACCCAATTACTCTTTGAAACTTTTGAGTGAGCACAGTCTGCTGATTACCTGTTTATTGAAATGCACCTTGGCTAATAAAATATACAACACCAAGAATAAATTAAATGAATCTTTGTCCCTTATTGCCTCACTTGAAGCAGTTTAATGAAGTTGATGCACATGCATGATACTTAAGCTTTGCCCACATTGTTGAATGCATATATTGTAATAGTTGATAATATCAGCATCATATGATGGCGGTGTTAGATGTCAGAGGAGCCAGAGAATCACCAAAGTTATTACATGTGGAACATCTATGCTATTTGTCACTCCTTTTTAGGGAAGCTATAACTTGTGGTGCCTTGTCGGTCAGTGGCTTGACTATATCCACCGCTGGTTTAGTGATTATTGGAGGTGTGGTAGTGGCAGGAGTAGTAGCAGGAGTGATTGTGTACAAGCACTTGGTAAGTGACAACAATCTCTCCAATAGAAGCATGTTCTGTCTTAAACTGCAATATATTTAAATGTTAACTTTTAATGTTAAAACACATTTCACTTGAGCAATGTCAGTTTCAAGTGTCAATGATCCGTTTTTTGTTTTTTTTGTAGTGCAAAGAAAAGTCGCACTGACAGAAGAGATCATTCCTCTCAAAGTACCTGCATGGCGCTGCACAGTGGCAACGGGTGCCTGTGATACATCAGTTTGTTTGTGGATTATGTTGCCCATAGTCAAAGCCTGTGGAGTGCACTGCTGTTGGCCATCTGACTTTAAATGTAGTGTATTTTGTTGTACCAAGTGTATCTGGAATCAGCAATAAAAACAAAATGCAGACCTACTATGGTTTCAAATCACACTAATTGACATTTGCAACAGTAGTTTGTAGATTACAAATGCAGTTTGTCGTATAAGCTGAGTTAAGATAATCAGTTCATCTGATTCAAATTGATCTTCATTTGAATGACCTGGTATTGAATCATAAAAGTGAGACTGAATCAAATTGAATCAAATAGGGACCTTGTGAATCCAAATCAAATTGATTCAGGAAATCAGTGGGATACCCAGCCCTGGTGTGAACATTACACACATTTATTTTATTGCATCTATTGATACATTTCAGCCTAAATACTAACTTATGTTGGTGCTCACAGATGACACTCCTGTGTCACTATTTTTCAAAGCGTACATGTTTAGTTATAGTTACCTCAGGCTGGCAAACAACATTCAGTTACAGAGAACTACGTTATTGTAGGTGAAGATATTTCATGTTCATTGGCTGCTGTGTTACACCACCCCCATCCTCCACTTTGTCTCAGAAAGTATCGTGTAAGATAAGAGGAAGCACAGAGGCTGTTGCTCTTGATGAGACACAGTGTTTCCTGTAAATCCTGCCCTTAGTAATCAATGTTTACTGAGCGTAAACAGCACTACAACTCTGAGCCTTTGCTTTAGTTTTAGCTTTTAAAAACCTGAAATGGTCCTCTCAGGGAGACCATTTTTCTTTCATTTCACTCTTCATTCTTCTCAGAAAGGGCACATTTAATTTAAAAATTACTCAATCTGGCTCTGGCTGTCAGTTCGTGTTCAGGTGGCCCTGCTGAGGAAGTTAGAGGCAGAGGAAACACCCTTAGCATGTGGCCTGTGTATAATGTAGTTTAGTTTCTGAATTCTACTCCTCATTTTTCTTCATTTATCTTAACCGGACTTAGCTCCCTTGACTGTAAATCAACCAGAAGTTTATTCTGTATGACTCAGCCTCCTATAGGATTCACTGTGTGAGATGATAACAATAACAAGGGGCGTCAGCCTGCTGGATAGACACAGAAAATAAACTCAAGCTGCTTTATAAAAGGGAGCAGTGTCACTATAAAGTGATGGCAACGTTTATGCGTGTGTAACAGTAATGTGCAGTTATCTTTTGTTCTGCACTGGTGAACATAATCAGACATCTGACACGCCCTGGGTCATTTACTGTGTGAAAACTGAACTGCGCACAGGCATGTTTTACAAACCACGGAAATGGAGCAGTGCACTGAGCACAAAGACAGTTTCCTGAGAATGTTAAAAGGAACCACTGGAGCATTATAAGCACATTGTGACTGCATGATAGTGACTATAATCTGAGGATAATAAAAGAAAACATAAGGTATAGAGTAGTAATCTGTATTTTGTTCTTACTGAGATTATTGGCAAATTGCTGCAATCCAACAGCGTTCACAAAATGGTGAGAAAAGAGCATCATGAACAAAAGAAGGGGGATTGATTTGATCTTGAATGAGTAAGAATGAAACTGAAAGACACATCAGTGTTTTTCCACTATGGCACAGAATTATATACTGTAAGCACACAGCACTGTCAAAGAAATATCACTCCAAAATTTGTCAAAATAAATACATTGATTGTGCAGAACACGTTTATAGTTTCTGTATTGAAAACCTGTAAACATTTAGCTATCTTAATAACACTGGATAACAAGTGGACAAGCAGGATATTAAGACAAAGATCTAAGTATCTCCCCCACCACTGTTCACAAACATAAAGTGGCAGACATGGCCTAATGTTCTTACTATATAATGATGAAAACTCTGTGTGTGTGTGTGTGTGTGTGTGTGTGTGTGTGTGTGTGTGTGTGTCTGTTCCACGTTTTTCTCCTCACTGACTTGGCCAATCCATGTGAAATTTGGCACAGTGGTAGAGGGTCACGGGAGGAAGCGAATGAAGCAATATTACATCAATTGGCCAAAGGGGGGCGCTATAGCAGCCGATTGAAATTGCAAACTTTGAATGGACATATCTCATGCCCCGTATGTTGCAGAGACATGAAACTTTGCACAGAGATGCCTCTCCTCATGAGGAACACATTTGCCTCAAGAACCCATAACTTCCGGTTATATAGATTTTCCGCCATTTTGAATTTTTTGAAAAACACTTAAAATCGATTTCTTCCTAGGAAGAGACTGATCTGCATGAAACTCAGTGAACATAATCTAGGGACCAATATCTAAAGTTCCCTCTTGGCAAAAGTTGGAAAACTTAGTAAACCTGAGCTTCTATAAGGCCATAAATATTGTGGAGGGCGTGGCTCATCACATAAAGGTGTATAACATCTCAAGGGTTTCACCGATCACCATGCAACTTTGTAGGCATATGACCACACATAATCTGAGGGGACCCCTCCATTATTGACCCCATCAAACAAAATGGGGGCGCTAGAGAGCTAATTTCTTATCTAGGCCTAACCGCCATATGATTTTTACCAAACTTGGTAGATATGTAGAACAGGATGCCTCAAGGTGACTGGAGAAATTTAACTCTAATTGGCAACTGCGTGGCGCTATAACAACAGAAAAATGCTTAAAAATGGCTAAAATGCGACCGATCGCTGTGGCTCCCCCTGTGGCCAAATGTGGGGGGTTTTTTTTACTAATTTTTGGTATGACTAAGTCATGGTATGGTATGCTGCTGCAACAAGGGCTAGCCGCACCTTTCCCATGTGAACTACCAGTGTGCCCCACTTTTAAGTCAATACAACATATAAACACTTTAACTATCTGCCTTTCAACGTGCTACCTCGACTTCTAATGTACAGTTTTAGCCCACTAACTATCCCACTATTGGCAATGGTACTACTGTACTTTCAATAAAGCAATCATACTATCAAATTCACAAAAGCTCTGTCTGAATACATTGCTCTTCTTAATGGGTTCAGTTGACTATTTAATCTGCAATTTCCTATGACCTGTATCCCAAACACACACCATGTGAAACTGTACGTGGGCAGCTGTGCACTCAATGGGTATGGACTAGTGAGTAATTGTTTGTGAAGTGTTGCAGTGTGCTAAAACCCGCCCTGTCTAGCAGCCGCACAAAAAGGGTTGAAACACAAAAACTCCACATTGAACCTGAACGATACAGCTGTTCCCAGAGTACTACGTGAGAGAGAATTAAGATGTAAGTAATTTTGCCTTCAACTATACTGTACTTGATTAACATTTGTTTGTGTATTATTAATGAGTGGTTGTCAATTAAACATCTCTTATTAGATATTCCAATAAACAAAGCAATATTTTCACGAGGCCAGGCATTGAATTTAATAATCGCTACACTGATTTATGTTGTAATTGTACGGTCTCAACATCATGGTATAAAACAGAATTTGAAATATTGTCTTGCTGCACCGAATGAGTAGAACTGCTGACTGTTTCTTATTCGTTTTTAGGGTTGGGTCTAAGCACCTTGTAGTCACAATGGCCACTGCTGGTGCCCTGACTTTTCTAGAAATAGGGCCAGTGGGATGGGCAATAGTAGTGGCAGCGGCAGCGACAGTGGTGCTGAAAGCGACAAAGAAATGTCGTGGTAAGTGGTTCAACAATCTCCCTAAAATAAGTTTGTTTTGTCTGATAAATAAATGAACTGCAGTATATTTAAATGTTGAATTCAAATGTCAAAGCATGTCACACATCTTTGTTTTTGTTTGTTTTATAGGAAAATGACGGCTGACGAAGGAAAGGCTGAAAGGCATTGATGAAATCATGACTAATAAAAACAAAGATGGCAGACAAACTGTGGTTTTAATGTACATTTTTGCACAACATTTATTCTAAGAAATAGTATGTAGATTCCTTACTGCTGGCTGCATTTTATTTTAAACACTTTCATTTAAGCTATTGCCACCTTTTTGCTTGAATGCAAACTTGAGTCTGTGCTCACAGATCACACTCCTCTGTGTTTTCCAGTTACCTCAGGCTGACGTACAACATTCAGCTACTCAAAACCCTTTATCCTGGTGCAGGGTTACAGGGGGGGCTGGAGCCTATCCCAGCTGACATTGGGCAAGAGGCATGGTACACACTGGGCAGGTTGCTAGACCTGACAGACAGCCATTATTGCTATCATTCACACCTACAGGCAACTAAACTAAAAGTCACCTATTAACCTGACCTGCATGTCTTTGGACTGTGGGAGCAAGCTGGAGACAACCCACACTGACAGGAGGACTCCACACATAAGGGCTCCAGCCAGCTGGCAGATTCGAACCCAAAACCCTCTATTACTGTGAGGCAACAATTGCTAACCACATTCAGTTACTATTACATTAAAATACATCTTATTGTAGGTGAAGATGATTTTATGGCTGCCATTAGTTACAGCACTACCATCCTCCGTCTCCTCTGGGAAAACATCTAAAGGAAAGAACATTTGTCGGTTGTCCTGGTAACACATGGAGTTTACTGACCTAAATAACTTATGAGTTATGCAAACTGAATGTGCAAGACACTATTCCTCTCAACCTCTGATGAAGTTAGAGCTATTTAAAATGAGGTTTAGTAGTAAATTGTTGCAATCCAACAGCATAATAAAAAGGGGAGCCATGAACAAAAGAACTTTCAGTCAGCGTTGACCTAAACATGCCATTTGATTGAGGTCATTATTTTGAATCTGGAATGAGTAAGAATGAAATTGAAAGAGTCATTCCACAAAGTGTTTTCCCACCATAGCACAGAGGTTATATAATGTTCTTACAGCATTGTGCAAGAAATATTACTCTAAAATATGTCAAAATACGTTGATTGTGCAGAAGATATTTATACTTTCTGTGATGAAAACCTGTATATTCTCAGTTATCTTAATAACACTGGATAACAACAAGACAAGCAGGATTACAAGAGAGTGTTTCTACTATATGGTATTGTTACTTTTGATTAAGTAAAATATCCTCCACCCCTGTAAAAACTGTGACATGGCAGACATTGCCTAATCATGTATTGCTTTTGAAGTGTTGCAGTGTGCTAAAGCACTCCCCTGCTGGCAGCTGCAGAAAGGGCTGAAACACAAAACTGAAACCAAACACAAAACTTCACATTGCATCTGAATGCATATGCGAACATATACATTATACAGGCCTATTGTCTGATGTTCATACTTCAGTTTTATATTCGTTAATCATCTTGTGTTTAAATATTTCTTTAATCTATTACTCAATCTACCACACACTTTCAATTCCATTTCTAAACCATTCCAGAAATAAACTCTGTATACTGAAACACACCTTTGTTATACATTTGCTCTGGGCTTTGTTTTTGAGAACACACAGTCCCCTCTCAGTTCATACTGACATTCTCTTACTTGAAACAATCTCTGGATACAGTTCGGCTTTGTACATCAGTGATGCTATTTTATAATCCACAATCTAAATTTGAGTGCCTGTGAATTAATGAAATAGATATGAAAGAATGATGCAATATATGTGATGAATTTAAGTTAAGGATGCCTATTGTTTTGTTCAATATTGCAATGCACTATGATATTTTGGTTTTAGTATGATTAACATGCGGTTTCCAGCATAATTTGTGATCTATGACAACTCCCCAAAACGTGTTCTCATGTACTCTTCCTATTTCAATATTACACTGTAAAACATCACAGCCTCATTCTGGTATGTCCACTTACTATTTCTCTTTAACTTTAAGAGCTCTGAGAAGTTGGGATTGTTGTTGACTGGTTGTCTAACCGACCCCTCCCACCCCCCCACCCCCCACCCCACTATGAATGAAACTGAAAGACCATATGGAACACCTGACATGTCACTTTCTTACAGACTGATAAGATACTGTGAGAGGGAAACTATTGTATCACCAACTTAATGTACAAGCGGTCTTCATAAATCATGAAAATATACTTTAACATAAACGTTAGATTAGGCTTTCATATATTTTCTACATGTCTTCTTAACTCTGCATACAGTTCAACAAACATGTATCTAATATTTGTTATTATTATCAAAAAATGTATGAAAATGTATCAAGTAACAGGGTTGAACACACTGTAACAGGGCTGAATGAATGACACAACATTTAAGAGTGAGAGTGTGTGTGTGTGTGTGTGTGTGTGTGAGTGAGTGAGTGAGTGAGTGAGTGAGTGAGTGAGTGAGTGCGTGAGTGCGTGCGTGCATGCGTGTGAGTGAGGGGTGTGTGTGTGGAAGGTGGGGGGGTCTGAATTCACTACTAAAAACAGTAAACCATGGCTCCCTTCCTACAAGTGTATATTTCTTGGGAGCTACAAGAATAATCAGATTAATCATGTATAAATCAGTGTATATAGTAGTGTTTTTTAAGCAAGCTATCATAATTTAAACCAAGCACTATCTCTAACCACATATTTCCCTCACCGTGAAGACTCTGGTCTGGCTTGTACTGCATCTTGAATTTCACTGTCAGGACTATGTGGAGGGGTTAGTGTTAGAGTTTGGGTGTAGCCTCTCCCTTTCCTTGTGTTTTCCTGTTTTTCCCCTCCCTATTGTGTCATGTTTGTCTCAGTCTGTCTGTGTTGCTGGGCGTGGACTCTGGGTTCCCTCCTCCTGCCTGCCCATCTGATCTCCTGCAGCTGCTGGTTCTCCTCACCTGCACCTAATCTCCAATCAAGCCCTGCAGTGTATATAACCTTGGTTCAGACCTCCAGACTCCGCCAGATCGTTCAGTTTCCGTTGCGGTACAGACGTCTAGGTCTCCTTTCCTAAGACTATTTGGATCATTTGTATTTCTGGTGTTTTT